GGTTTCATTTTTCCTTCTATTTCGTTTAGAAAAAAGTTGAGGCGGAAGAGGAAAGAGATGACATGGGAGAGCGAATTAGAAAGTGCTTAATGAGTATAACCAACAATCTCTCATTCTTAAAAATAAACATAACTGTATCAAACCCTAGCCTACTCTAAACCTAGCCACCTAAAGACTCACGAGAGAAAATCAGAGGAAAAGTAGATATAGGAGAAGCCAAGAGAAAAAAAAAAGATTCACGACAAAAGGATAAAAGAGGAAGAAAAAAAAAAGATAGAGCATATAGGTGTCCTCGCGAATGTTCAAAATAGAGAGTGAGCATCAGAGGAGCAGAGATAGAGGTGAGATACGTTAGAATGAAAGAAAGACGTTTTGTGGTTGCCGGTGGATGAGAAGAGAGGAGGACGCTTTGTTTCGTTCTTAAATCACTTTTTTTTTCTAACAAATAGACAGAAAAATTCTATAAATCTCTATTTTATTGTTGACACATATTCTTACATGCCCTCATTTCTTCACGTATATATGCGTTTCTATAAACGCTCAAAAAAAGATAATATGTAAATTAATCCTATCTTTGGTCATCTATCAATATTCAACATTCCATGCAAAAAACATTATAATGAGTAAAGATTGTGTGGTCTTCAAATTACAAGCATAGTCGGCTAAATATAAGCCAAGTTTGTTGACCAATTTAGATCTTCATCTTGCTGACAATGGAGGTGGTTTCCGTGAACGATGGTAATTTTCATGTCCACATTTCTACATACATCACACTTTATTACTAGTATCCACAAGTAATATTTCAACTTCCGTGCCATTCCTACACCTAGAAATAATTCTGGTTAAAGCTCCTTCGTAAGGTTTGTGTGAACAATAAATCTAACCACTTGGAGTGATTCTTTCCCCTCAAACGACGGTTTAGGAGTTTAGATTGTTAGAAATAGTTTTTTTGTTTTTTTTAATACGACAATAGATCAACTTGATTTCGTGATTTGAAATCTATGACAATTCTTAATGTTTTTCCTGGTGATTTGTCTATTTCTAAAATCCAGACAACTCTTTGATGTTCAATGCTTTTAATTCATAAGGTTGCATCGTTTAATTACTTTCTCATTTATATTATTGTTTTCTCATTTACATTATTGCTTTCAAGAACAAATATAAATTCATAAATATGTTAGTTTAGAGTGTGATAATATATATTCATAAATGCTATTTTGATCACAAGAAAAACACATCTTTAATCTGTTTGCCTGCTTAATTTTTTGTTGCGAACGATAATACAAATTAACCAAGAAAGCAATTTTTTGTCAGTAAATATTGTTCATTCATTGTAATTTTTTTTTAAAAATATCTACAACGAGTCGATCAAAACTGTGAATGGTGAAAAAAGCTTAACAAAACCATTGTCTTATGTAATCTACACTGACAAAACCATTCACATTAGTCTCAGATCGGAAAGCAAGAGGACTGTTAGTTTGGATAGTAGTTTAACTTGATGACAAAGAACTGAGCATTTAAACAAAGCAGATAGTAAATACGTTGTAGTTTCTTATCATGTGAGCTCAACATCTTACATGTGATAAGTTTCAAAGCAAAAAAAAAAAAAGAAAATCTTACATGTGAGAGACATTGTTCCAGCAGACATGAGTGCAGAATTAGTGGGCCGAACTAATAAAGGAAAGGAAAAAGCCCAATACAGTCTACGGCGTCGTTTTGGTTATCTGAAATAAGCAAAATCTCCTCGAAGATGAGAGAGAGAGAGAAAGCATTAGGT